CCTACTCTTTTCTTTCTTTCAAATAAATAAATAAACAACGCTTAAAAAAAAAAAAAAAAAGAGGTGGGTATTAAGGTGCAGGGAGGAGGCATCCATATTGGGTGCTTGGTTCAATTCCCAGCTACTGCGCTTCCAATCCCTCCTGCTAATGCAACAGATAATGGCTCAAGTGCTTGGGCCCCTGCCACCCACGTGAGAGACCCAGATGAAGTTCCAGGCTCCCTGGCTCAGCCTGGCCCAGTCCTAGCTGGCTGCTGCAGGCATTTGGGGAGTGAAGCAGCAGATGGAAGAGCTCTCTGTCTCTGCACTCTGCTTTTCAAATAGATGGAAATAAATAAATAAGCATTCAGAAAAAAAAAAAAAAAAGTATAGCCCTGTTTTGTAACAGATTCTGGGTAGAAGAAAGGAGCCCATCTTTCAGCTGTACTCACCCAAGGCTTAACCTCAGCAACAAGCAGCTCTGGGTGAGATGAGAAATGCTGAAATCCTGCCTCTCCTGGGAAGAAAGCCCACTGACGGAGAGGTGGGGGTCGGGGGCCCTGCGTGATGGGTTGTGGCAGTCCGGAGTGGAATCTCCACCTCACCGAGCTGGCGAAGGAGAGTGGTCTTGGTTCACCTACTGTAGCCTCTGGCCTTTCTTTCCGAATTTTAAGTTTTATTTATTTAAAATACAAAGTTTGTCTATTTGACAAGCCAGTCCAGAAACTCCCATCCAGGTCTCCCATGAGTGGTAGGGACCAAGGATTTGGGGCATCTTCTGCTACCTTCCCAGGCTCATTAACAGGAAGTTGGATGGGAAGTGGAGCAGCCAGGACTCAGATATGGAATGTGGGTGTCATAAGCAGTTTAACCTGCTGCACCACAATGCCCACACTCTTAGTGTTTCTTGAAAAGATGTTTCTTGGGGCCTGTACTGTAACATAGCCGGTAAAGCTGCCACCTGCAGTGGCCCATCCCATATGGGCGCCAGTTCAAGTCCCAGTTGCTCCACTTCCAATCCAAGATGGTCCAAGTCCTTGGGCCCCTGTACCTGTGTGGGAGACCCAGAAGAAACTCCTGGATCCTGGCTTCAGATCAGCCCAGCTCCAGCCATTGTGGCCAAATGGGGAGTGAACCAGCAGATGGAAGACTTCTCTCCCCTCCCTGCCTCTGCCTCTCCATAACTGTCCCTTTCAAATAAATTAAAAAATCATTAAAAAAAAAAAAAAAAAGATGCTGTCTGCAGTACCAATACTCCATATGGGCAGTGGTTCAAGTCCTAGCTGCTCCACTCCGAATCCAGCTTTCTGCTAATGTATCTGAGAAAGCAAAGATGGTCCAAGCCCTTGGGCCCCTGCATCCATGTGGGAGACCTGGAAGAAGTTCCTGGCTTCTGGTTTCAAACCAACCCAGCCCTGGCCATGGCAGCCATTTGGAGATGAACCAGCAGATGGAAGATTTCTTCCTCTGTCTCTCTCCCTCTGCCTCTCTGTAAATCTGCCTTTCAAATAAATAAATGAATCTCTAAGAAGGGGGAAAAAAAATGATACCACCTGTGGCACCAGCATCCCATATGGGCACCAGATTGAGTCCTGGCTGCTCCACTTCCAATCCAGCTCCCTGCCAATGTGCCTGGGAAAGCAGCAGAAGATGGCCCAAGTGCTTGGGCCCCTGCACCCAAGTAAGAGACCTGAATAAAGTCTGGCTCCTGGCTTTGGTCTGGCCCAGCTCTGGCCGTCGCAGCCATTTGGGGAATGAGCTAGCAGATGGAAGATCTCCCTCTCTCTGCCTCTGCTTCTCCCTCTCTGTAACTACCTTTCAAATAAATACATCTTAAAAAAAAAAAAAAATTGGAGCCGTCACTGTGGAATAATGGGTAAAGCCGCTGCCTGCAGTGCTGGCATCTCATTTGGGCACTGGTTTGAGACCCAGCTGTTCCACTTCAGATCTAGCTCTATGCTATGGCCTGGAAAAGCAGTGGAGGATGGCCCAAGTTCGTGGGCCCCTGAATCCACGTGGGAGACCCGGAAGAAACTTCTGGCTCCTGGCTTAGATCGGCACAGCTCCAGCCATGGCTGCCTTTTGGGGAGTGGACCAGCGGATGGAATACTCCCCTCTGCCTCTGGCTCTGCCTCTCTGTAACTGTGCCTTTCAAATAAATAAATAAATCTTAAAAAAAAAAAAAAAAGAAAGAAAGATGCTTCTTCATGTGCGTAGGCCCCGTCCAGTGGATTTAAACAGTTTTGTTTTTAATTTTCCCTAGTTTTACAGGTGAACAGTGGTAGCTTTTGGGATCCGCATGGAAGGAAGGCCTACACTTCTGGGAATGGAGAAGTCCCTACCTGTACTTGAGGGGAAGAAAAGTCCTTGTCAAGGTCCCTGCCGGTGCCTAAAGGTCAACCAATGAGGATCAGACCCGCCTCAACCTTTAACCCCCATGCCCTGAATCTATAAAAGGAGCACTCCCAATCTCTGATGCTGGACTCCCCCCCCCCCCCCCCCCCCCCCCTCGGTTGCTCTGTTGGGACCGGGCAACCTCGCCCAGGAGCGGAATCCCAACAAAAGCCTGTGAATTAATCGATTCGTCTGCCTGGGAAGATTTGTTATGCGCTGGACACCTTGCAAACAGATCAGTGGCGCTCCCTCACTGTCACGCTGCTAGTGAATCCCGTCCAGTGGAGTTGAAGAGCTGAGTAGTTCCAAAGAAATCCTACAGCCCACAAGGCCAAAAATATTTACTACGTGGCCCCGTGTGGAAGCAGCTTGCCAACCCCCGACAGGACACTGCTGCCAACGCCGCTACTGCACAGACCACACTGGGAGGAGCGAGACTGCAGAGTCCGGGGTTGGGTGTGTGGCACAGCAGTTACACCAATGCTTGGGATGCCCCCACACGGAAGTGTCTGGATCTGAGTCCCGGCTTCTTGCTAATGAGCACCTGGAGGCAGCGGGGGATGGCTCAAGCAGTTGGTTCTCTGCCACCCACGTGGGAGACCTGGAGGGAGGTCACTGCTCCTGCCTTCAGCCTGGCCTAGGCCCTGCTACTAAGGAAGATGGAAGATCTGTGTCTCTTTGCCTTTCAGATAAAATTAAAAATGTGAAAAGACCTCTCTCTCCTTGTCCCCTGGCCTTTCAAATAAACAAAAATGCTTTTAAAAATTACTGCAAAAGTAATACTATATTGGCTAGGAGCTTAGTTCAAAGTCCTATTGTGCTGTTTACTAAACATATAGTTTGAGGCACTCTGTGGATACAGGGAGAAAGCAAAGTGTTTGTTTCTATTCTTGCAATCAGCCATCAACACAGAAGGCTTTTCTGAAGCGAGTCACCAAGAAATATGTAGAGGGGCCGGTGCTGTGGTGTAGCGGGTACAGCCACCGCCTGCAGTGCAGGCATCCCATATGGGCACCGGTTCCAGTCCCGGCTGCTCCTCTTTCCATCCAGCTCTCTGCTATGGTCTGGGAAAGCAGCAGAGATGGCCCAAGTGCTTGGGCCCCGGCACCCACATGGGAGACCCAGACGAAGCTCCCGGCTCCTAGCTTCGAATCAGCCCAGTTCTGGCTGTTGCAGTCATTTGGGGAGTGAACCAGCAGATGGAAGATCAAACTCTCTCTCTCTCTCTTTTTCTCTCTCTCTGCCTCTGCCTCTCACAAAAAAAATAAATCTTTTTTTTTAAAGCAGCGTGTAGCGATTCCTCCCCACCCACAGCCAGTCTATTCTTCCCACAGCAGAGAGAGAGCAGGTGAGGGTCCTTCAGTTAATTCAGTTCTGTCTTTCTCTACCTAGAGGGAGCGTCAGAGCCCACAGATTGAGAGCTCAGTCGCCCAAGACTGGCCCCCACTTCTGATACCAATCACAGGTCCCCAGCTGTTTCTGTGCACCAGATATAAACCCGAGTCCCCACAACTGCTCCTGGATTCGACTGATTTGCTGGAAGCGGCTCAGAGAGACACTAACTCCCCTGTTCACAGGGACTATTACAAAGCATACGGATGAAAGGCACCCGGGAAGGTGCTGGGGCATCCCTGCCGTCTCCCAGCATGCCACCCTCCACGAACCCCCACATGCCCAGCCCCCTGCACGTTCTCTGAACCCTGTGCGTTTTGAGGCTGTATGGAGGCTTCACTAAAAGGCATGACTGATTACATAATTGACTATTGGCCACCGACTTCACCTCCAGCCCCTCCTCCACTCACCCCCAGAGGTTAGGGGGTGTGGCGGAAAAGTCCCAACTCCCTAATCTTTGCAGTGGTCTTCCCCACCAGCCCCCAACCCAAAACTACCTAAGGGCTTCCTAGCAGGTCAGCTCATCAGCACACAAAAAGACACTTATCGCTTTGAGATTCCAAGGATTTTAGCTGAGAAGACCGAATACATAGTTCGCGTCCTCAGAGGCACCTCCACCTCTGAGTTGTCCCAAAGAGGAAAATGTGCCCACGTCTCACCCTCAGAAACTCTTCAGCCCATGATATCTGCTACCATCATCATGCAGGAAACTTCCCAGAAAGTAAGTTGATGACACCACCTCTTTCCTCAAAGAGTTTTTCCCTGAAAATGTAAGCTTTGGGAAAGAGAGACAGGGATAGACTTTCCAAATAAATGAGATGGAATTTCCAGTGCTCGAGGTAACCACATTATCTAAGCAAGGCTGAAAAACGACAACAACAACAAACCCTCGGGTGTGCGCTCAAGCCTCCTCCCACGGTGGAGACCAAACTCACAACCACGGACGCTTCCAGCCTCTTCCCACCACAATGAATGAAAACAAACTTCAGAAAGGGCTGAAAGCCCCAAAGCAACAAGGCTCTTTGACACAGGAGTTGGGCCTACGTGGCCCTTTCCGGCTCCGACCCTCTCCACGCCCAAAAGACGGCAGCCACGGAGCTCGGCACGCTCCCCCGCGCCTGTCACACCGCCGCCGGGGCGGGACGCGCGCGGGGCCGGGGCGGGACGCGCGCGGGGCCGGCGGCTCCTCCCCGGGGTCCCCCTCGCCGCAGCCCGTGGGGGTGCCGGCCGGTTACCTCGCAATTGAACTCCATCTCGGCGTCCATGGTGACGATCCGCACCGTGAACGTCTTGGGCTGCTTCCTCTTGAGCGAGCTGAAACTCATGCGGGAAGCGATGGCCCCGGCCATGGCGCGGGGCTCAGGCCCGGGGACCTTCGCACCCCAAGGCCTGTGATCGGGAACTGTTAGCCCCCCTGGAGCAGCCGCACAGGCCTCAAGGCCACCATGGTGGCCGGCACACCGGCCTGGAAGCGATCTGGGCTGGGTGGGTCCCCGGCGGCCAGCATGGGCCGCGAGGACCCTGCCTCGGGAGCGGAAAGGGGACCTGGGGGTCAGGCCCTGCCGGACGGCGGCGGGGAGGGGACGCGAGCCGGGACCGGCCAGACGGGCGCGGCCCGGCGCTGCCGGACTCAGGCCGCGCGGACGCCGAGGACGCCCAGGGACTAAGAACCCTAGACGGCGGCGGCCCAGACCCGGCGCGCCTCTCCAGGGCCGACCGGAGCCCCGGGGCCGCGCACTACCGAGCGCGCGCGGGGCTGTCACTGTCCTCGCTCCGCGTGCCCGCGCGAAGCGTCCCCCTCCCAGTAGCCCTCTGCCAGCTCCGGGCTCCGCCCTCAGTACCTTCGGATCACTACACACAGAGTAACTTAACTCAGCGGCTGCCTCCCAGGCGCCACGGTTGGCTGAGAACGCCAAAGGAGGTGGGACTTTCCTGCTTCGTCCCGCCCCCTTCAGAAAGTTTCACCAATTAGAAGTTGTGATTTAACTAGCGGCGGCGGTCCGGCCTCGGCGTTGATTGGCTGTAGGGGCAGTCACTCTAGATGCTTTTGTTCGAGCGACTACGCCTATTCCAGCAAGATTGGTTGAGGCGGCGCAGTCGGGCGCGCAGCGGGGAGAAGCCTGGAGCTTGGTCCCGGAGCGCTGGCGTGAGGTCCCTCTCTGGACCGCGGGCCGAGAATGGCGCTCCAGGGGATCGCGTTTCGAACACCGGGCGGATATTCCTCCTTGACACTTAGTTACACCTACTGATTTGTGTTTCTCAAACTTTTAAAACACTTGTGGAGACCTAGTGGGTTGCCGGTACTTTCCCGCCAAATCCTTCAGCTTCTCTTTAGGAAAATTACTGTTAGCAAAAAGGAATAATGCTTGTACCTGCCGCACGGAGTTGATGAGGAACTTGAGCGCTTTGAATACACCTAAGGCTTCAGGGCCGTGAGTGGCACACCCTAGAATCCTACAAAGGTTGCAGATCAGAAAGGGGAAAGAACGTCATCAAGGGTTATAGTGGGTGTCAGGAGGAGTCTATGCTTCTGTAGTTTAGAAAGTCAAAACTTCGATTTTTATTTATTTTTATTCGAGAGACAGAGCACCCATCTGTTGGTTTGATCCCCAAACACCCACAACGGCTCGTGGAGGAGTGGAGGAGGAGGGCCAAAGCCAGAAGCCAGATTACCTGAGCCATGGCCGCTGCCTCCCGGGGTCTGCATTAACAGGAGGCAGAGACAGGAGCCTGAGTCGGGAACGGAACCCAGATACTCCTCTATTTGGAGGCGGGTGTCCTACCCAGTGTGCTAACTACTAGGCCAAACGCCCACTCTCCTAGTTCTATTTTAAATAGCTCTCAGTTGTCAAATGCAGGCAACTACTTAAGTTTTGATTGAACAGTTAGCACTTCATGAGTGTTTTGATTAATATCACCTCCAGGGCCTGCATTGTGGTACAGTGTGCTGAGCTTAACCCCCCCACCCCCCACCTGGATGCTGCCATCTTGTATGAGCTCTGCTTAGGGTCCCAGCTCCTCTACTTCTGAGCCAGCTCCCTGCTAATGCACCTGGGAAAGCAGCAGAAGATGGCCCAAGAGCTGGTGCCACTCCACGTGGGAGACCTGGATGGAGCTGCAGGCTCCTGGCTTTGGCCTGGTCCAGTGTTGCATCCACTGGTCAGCTAAAATAGAATGTTACAAAAACCAGTGACAGTCACACATGAATTTTATTGAAAAATGAGAGACAAATGAGAAGCAAGGCAACCGATTGGGACCAGAGTACGGCCCCCAACCGCGAGTTACACAGCTTTTTATAGTATTCTGTCCACTAGGGCTCACAATTTCAAACCGGACCCCTGGTATGCAATGAACAATAAAAACCAAACCAGAATATGGTTGTAAGATAACAGTTAACAATAACAAACCCAGTAACAGATCCAAGATATGGTTGTAAGAGAACAGTGCAGGGCGCATTTCTGTCAACCTGGTTCCTGGGAATTTGGGCCCACATAGTTTCACAAGATACACCCTTAGCCGTTAGCAAGCAAAGCTAATATGTGCAGAAACAAGAGGTCTGCAATTAGCTTTTAGCCACACTCACTCCATTTTGATTCTGATTCTGCACCAGCCCTGGCCATTGTGGCCATTTTGGGAATGAACCAGTGGATGGAAGATTCTTTCTCCCTCTCTACCCTACCCCCACCCCCCATAACTCTGCCTTTCAAATAAATAAATAAATAAATAAATGTTTAAAGAATCACTCCCACTGTACAGATGAAGAAACTGAGACTTGGCCTGATAGAACCACTTGCTGTTATCACCCACATAGTGAGAGGCAAACCTAGGTCTGTGCCGCCCAGTGCCTGCTGGTATTACCGCTGTGCCGCCTGCTTCCCTGTTTGTGACTTCCAGATTCTCCCTGTTGCAGCCTCCGTGAACCTGAACTTCCAGGGTGGGCGTATAGCCTAGTAGTTAAGCCACAGGTTGATACCTGTGTGCCTCGTTGGAGTCTCTGGCTTTGAGATCCACCTCCAGCGTCTGAGCCCCAGCTCCCTGCTAATGCAAACCCTGGGAGGCAGCAGGGATGGCTCAGGTAATCGGATTCCTGGGGGGAATCTAGATCGTTCCCGGCGCCCAGATTCGAGCCCACGAGATCTGGTCATTGAAGGCACTTGGAGAATGAACCAATGGATAGATGAGAGCTTTCTGCCTCTCTCCATCTCAAAGAAGAAGAAAAGAAAAAGAATTATGAGCTGCAATTCTGGAGCGGTTAGCAGACACTGTTGCCGTAACTACCCAAATAGCATAAACCTAGCTTTTCGGCACAGGCCCCTGCAGTGCCAGGAAGCACCAGCCAGGCCCTAGGAATCATTTGCTGGCACACCCAGGATGGTTGCCACCGGGAGACTTTATGTCCTGTGTGCTGCTAGCAAATTCTGCCCACGGAACCTGATTGTTCACGGCAGTGTGGGCGTGTCTCCATTTCCACTGCTTCAGTTCTTCCCTGCAGGTGGGAGAACCAGGCTGGATTCTCCTCTGGGCTTCCCACAGAGATGACAAATCAGGCCTTTCAACCAGGGCCAGGGATGCTAACAGAAAATAAGTGGCTCTGGGAACCCACTGAGGAGTAGCAAATGCAAGTGGATCAGACAGCAGGGGCTAAAAAATAACATTGATAGCCAGTAATAGCTCGTTTTTATGGAGGCTTTGCGAAGCGGTGGGCGCTGGGCTAATTAGCCAGACATGCTGAGTGCGAGGTTCCTTGAGGACATCCAGCTAGGTGTGTGGATCTGGGCCTCAGGTGACAGCCAGAAATAAAAATAGATGCGGTGGAATATTATGCTGGTATTAAAAGGGGGGAGAATAGGGCAGATATTTGGTATAGTGAATAAGATGCCCCTTGGGACATCTGTATCAGAGTGCCTGGGTTCAAACCCTAGCTCTGCTCCTGATTCCAGCTCCCTGCTTGGGAGGCAGCAGGCCATGGCTCAAATACTGGGGTCTCTACCACCCTCATGGGAGACCTGAATTGAGTTCCTGGCTCCTGCCTTTGGCCTGGCCTGGCCAGTCCTGGTGGTTGCAGGAACGTGGAGAATGAACCAGCACTGATAGGGCATCTCTGTCTATATGTCTGTCTCTCCATTTTTCAAGGAGGTTTTTTTTTTGGTTTTTTTTTTTTTTTTTCTGGCAGAGTGCACAGTGAGAGAGAGAGAGAGAGAAAGAGAGAGAAAGGTCTTCCTTTGCCGTTGGTTCACCCTCCAATGGCCACCGCACCACGCTGATCTGATGGCAGGAGCCAGGTGCTTATCCTGGTCTCCCATGGGGTGCAGAGCCCAAGCACTTGGGCATCCTCCACTGCACTCCTGGGCCACAGCAGAGAGCTGGCCTGGAAGAGGGGCAACCGGGACAGAATCCAGTGCCCCGACTGGGACGAGAACCCGGTGTGCCGGCGCCACAAGGCAGAGGATTAGCCTAGTGAGCCGCGGCGCCGGCCAAGTAGTGTTTTTTTTGTTTGTTTGTTTGTTTGTTTTTTAATGGAAAAAAGAAATTGAAACACAGGTGATAGTAGTCCTTAGCACATAAAGGTTTGGGGAGGAATGATTCAGGTAAAACTCATTAAGGCCTGGCCTGCAGACACCAGTTACAATGATCTGTGGAAGGAATAAGTAAAGGACATAAGGAGGTAAGTGCTTACAGCCTCCACAGTGATAACAGCCAGCACTTACTGGCTGCTGATCATAGAAGGCACTCTACAAGGTGCCTTGCGTGCTTTGCTGCTTTTGATGTCTTTCAGTGCCCTCTTTGGTAGATATTACAGCCTTATTTTATACGTGAGGAAACTGGAGAAGGCAGAAAAGAGGGATGATAAGGCTCCTAAGCGGTGGAGCTGTGATTTGCATCCGGGACTGCATTAATCCATCACTTACCTACTTGACGTTTGTTCCGCCATCCATCCAGAGGATCGGTGGTTCTGAAAGGACGGTCCCTGCCCTACAGGGGACGTTTGGCAGTGTCTGCAGACTTCGTTGGTTGTCACCACGCAGACGTGCTCTGAGCCTCTGGGGTAAAAGCCAGGGATGCTGTCAAATAGCCCACAGTGCACAGGACAGCCCCTCCACACAGAGTTAACCACGCCAAGTGTTAGTAGTGATGCAGCCAGTTAAGCCCCCTCTCCACGACACATCCATATCAGAGTGGCCTTTCAAATGCCTGTCCTGGCTACTGCACTTGCAATCTAACTTCCTATTGATACGCTTTGGAAAGACAGTGGAAAACGGCCCAAGTACGTGGGTTCTTGCCACCCACATGGGAAACCCGGATGGAGTTCCTGGCTCCTGGCTTTGACCTGGCTCAGCTCCAGCTATTGTAAGCATTTGGGGAGTGAACCAATAGTTGAAGATCTCTCCTCTCTCTCTCTCCCTCTCTCCCTCTCTCCATCTCTCCACCTCTCTGTCACTGTGCCTTCGAAAATAAATAAATAACTTAAATCCGAAAAAAGATAAAACTTGCAGCTGATGGCTGTGGCATAATGGAATAAGCCTAAAAGCTGCATTGCCAGCATCCCATATGGGCACTGGTTTGAATCCTGACTGCTCCACTTCCAATCCAGCTCTCTGCTATGGCCTGGGAAAGCAACAGAAGATGGCCCATGTCCTTGGGCCCCTGCACCCACATGAGAGGTCTGGAAGAAGCTTCTGGCTCCTAGCTTTGGACTGGCCCCGCTCCAGCTGTTGCAGCCATCTCAGGAGTGAACCAGCAGATGGAAGACCTTTCTCTCTGTCTCTTCTGCTCTCTGTAACTCTGCCTCTCAAATAAATAAATAAATCTTTAAAAATAAAAAAATAGATAAGCCCTACTCAGACATGTATTGT